TTTTTGCATGATGTTAAGATCAAATTAAACGTTTCAGACTTAAATTCATTAACTAGTACAAAGACACAAAGTGCTGACCTGAGAGTACTTGAAGTTACTGAAAGTTAGTTCAAATCCAATAACAGTGAATAAATAAACCAAATTCTGCTAGACTACCAATCAGTACAAATCCATTAAACTACAAACCAGTAAAAGTCTAAAATGGCCTATATCTGTACTCGACTGTACTGATTTTTACTCGACCAGTCTGAATTGGTCTGAATTTTACTCGACATTACTCGACCCCAGTCCTAACCATACTCGACTGTACAGATTTGTACTTGACCCTAATTTTTGCCATTGAAAATAGTCTGAACTATTACTCGACCAGTCTGAAACAGTCTTAACCCATTCTTCACCTGTACTCGACCTATTTTTTTCAGTCTAAACCATACTCGACCAAAGGTCTGAACAATACTCGACCAGTCTGAACCATATTTGACCAAATAACCTCTACTTTTTCTAAATTTTAACTGTTAAAATAAGTTTCTTTTTAACTGACATGACAACAGCCACAATAAAATAAAGATATATTATAAAAACAGATTTTTACATTCTTACATGATTCTCAGATTTATCGAATAGAGATAGTTAAATCAAATTATCTTATATAATAATTTAATTATATTAATTTTAAAGTTTTAGAGTTTTGTTAAAAAAAGATTTTCTTTTACCTAAAAACCACACCTATACTGAGGGTAATTAAACCTTATTAAGGTGCTTCTTGTTTGGCATGTTTTTTTTTTTAATCAATTTTCCTTAATTCCTAAATGAAAACTACAGGTTTCATGGTTACATACAAAAAATGTACAATAGTTATATAATTATCTGTTTAATGAGGTAACAACAGCCAACAAAATCATTGAAATTGTTTTACCTTATTTTAGAAATATATCTATTATTATAATTTGGGATATATTATATACAATATATATCAAAAAGGGATAAAAATTAAAGAAATTAATAAAATTGTTCTTCTTATTAGTTTTGAATTATAAAGTAATACCTCCTGCTTGGTGCAAACTCATGAAAAAGATCACACCTGGTCAGAGAGTATTAAATTATAAATTACATTCATTCAAAATTGCAACATCCTGTGAAACTTAAATCGCAAGGCCTTTTGAATTCACTAGATTAGTAATACACGAGTTTAAGAAAAATAGGGCTTTCTTTTTACCTGTAAAACACACATGTACTGAGAAAATTAAACCTTATTAAAATGCTTCATGTATGCCATGTCTTTAATTTTGACAAAAATTATTTAAATTTAATTGAAATAAATTTTTACTGTAACTTTGGAACACATTTCCTTTTTTAAAAGTTTATCACAGGATTACTATGGAAATTCTATTATCATGATTATACTAAATTCTTAGTTTAACAAAACAAAGGTGTAATTTTTTAAATTTATTAAGTTGCTTTATATGCTATTTTATATATATTTTAATAAAAAAAAATGTTCACTGCATTATAAACTAAACTCAACTGACACCATAAATCTAAACGAGGCTTAATTAATGGTGAAAATTGTCCAGTAACCATAAAATATATCTGAAACATTCAAAAAAATTTGAATAACATTGAAAATATTAGTCACAATCCAGTTTTGGGATTATTTGATCAGCTTATTTTATTTTTATTTTGAAGGTGATATATATGTATGTATATAAGTGTTGATGAATATGGTGATGAAGTTATATTATGTTTATTGTGAAATTTTGGTTTCAATGCTATATTTAATACATTTTTAACTTTTAAATTGTTGTTCAAATTTCTTGCCAGGGGAAATAGCTGTTGTTAAAAACAGTTCCTAAATTGATGAAATACAATAGATGATAGATACAAAAAATAGGTCTAGGTTGTTTAAGACTTGGTCGAGTATGGTTCAGACTAGGTCGAGTATGGTTCAGACTAGGTCGAGTATGGTTCAGACTAGGTCGAGCATGGTTCAGACTAAGTCGAGCATGGTTTAGACGCGTATAAAATGGTTAAGTACTGGTCGAGTAAGGGTCGAGTACAAGTTCAGACTGTTAAGTATGGTTCAGACTACAGTCGAGTATTATCAAGTAAATTTCAGACCAATTCAGACTGGTCGAGTAAAAATCAGTACAGTCGAGTACAGATATAGGCCATTTCAGACTTTTACTGGTTTGTAGTGTTATTTACTTAATTTAATCTAATTTAACTGATTTATTTAAGCAATCACCAATCATTAAGGAAATCGTTCAGACTTCAATATTCGCAGTTCACTTGCATTTATGCCCTGGGCTCTTTACGATTTTAGAACCATTTGACATAATTAATAACTAATCAGGATTAATCACCTCAAGATGACCAAATATTAAACATATTTTGTTTTATATTCAAATGTAAGCTTTTCAAGTATATTGAAATAGAACATTGTGCGCAATAAAAATAAAATAAATCCCTGTATGATGTTACAATGTTCATAACGGCAAACACACCAGTTTTTTTTTATTTCTAAACAACCTCCTTTGACCTGTCATAATCAAGGGAGATAAGATTTATCTCTTTGACAAAAAGTCACCATATTTTCATCTCTGTTCATTAGCATTTTCTTTGTATGCTTTTTACTCTGTTCTAAAATCAATGTTTATTTTCATAGTAGACAGACATACTAGGTCATTAAAAATGATGTTTTAACTAATTAAATCTATGTATAATTAATCAAATTTTATCTGTTTGCGTTAAATTATCAAAATACTTCATATCTTATTACACTGTTTGAACGAAAACAGGTCGTCCCGCATAATTTCCCTTTCCTTAGCTGGGCTGCAAAGAGAGAGCTCTCCTACTTTTCAGCCATAGAATGTTGGCAGGTATGGGTGTAATAATGTATGGTGCAATGGGAAATAGTGTTTCGTGCATGTGAAATGATGATTGTTTTTCTAAAATCAGTTCGTTTTATATCGATGTTGTCCCTTTGGTATAGTCCGCCTCTTTTTTAAAAGATATGTTAAAATTAGCAATTTCCTCAAAAAAGTTTCATTGTTGGTACTTTTGAATTGTGCGTTCGTGTATAACTCAAATGGGTTAGAGGCAAGGTATATAGTGTATGGTACATGGGGAATGGAGAATGGTGTATTGGTGTTGTTATGATGGTGTATTATGTAACGGTGTATGGTGTATTGTGTAACGGTGTATGGTGTATTGTGTAACGGTGTATGGTGTACTTATGCATGATGAAAGTTGTACGGTGTAATGATGTATGGTGTTTGATGTCATAATGTATATCATTAGATGAAAGCTACACTATTCAAGGACTGTAAGAAGTAGACTTGTATCTAACTTATTTATCGGTAACACATAAATCAAACGAAAATAGCCAGGTAATTGAGGGCGTCTGGTTAAAAATGACCATTTGTTGGAAAAAAAGTCTTCAATTTTTTTGTACGGGGCTGAGAAAACGAAGACAATTCTAATAGCAATGACATCGTATTGAGATAATCTGTTTATTATTTTTTTTATTATCAGTGAATACTAAAAAGTTAAATCACAAAAATACTGAACGGAAATTTAAAAACGGAAAGTCCCTAATCAAATGGCAAAATCAAAAGCAAAAACACATTAAACGAATGGACAACAACTGTCATATTCCTGACTTGGTACAGGCATTATGTAGAAAATGGTGGATTGAACCTGGTTTAGTAGCGCTAAACCTCTCACTTGTATGACAGTCGCATCAAATTCCATTATATTGACAACGATGCGTGAATAAAACAAACAGACATAAAAGGTAAAAAAGTCAAAATAGGGGTACATCAGTCAACACTGTGTCACAATCTTAATCACAACAAAAACAAACAAATATTTAACAAAGAAGCACAAAAAAGCATATATCACATTTAACAACCTCGTTCATTGCTTACCATTTTTTTGTATTTTATTTATGTTTGCCAAATCAACCCATAAAGGATCGAGGGATTTTAAGCACTAGGACCGAATCACGAATTCACGAAATACAAAAGGGTCTGGGAGGTTGAAATGTCAGACTACACAACGGTCATACATAATAATATTGGTTACGTATTTGTATCTCAATGACAAGTACGTTCATTTGTGACGTCACACAACTCCATCTTATTTTTCTGTTTGATGCATTAGGATAACAGAAGTGTACACAATACACAAACGGCATTCATAGGTACCATACTGCATAAACAATGTAAAAAAAATTTACTTTATGTTTTTGCTATCCCTTATAATATAGTGACTGCAGTAGACTCTTTTTAATTTATTGAAAACTTTGATTTCCCCCTTTCCTACTGTTTACTATCATTTGAAATCTAGATTCGGTGGAGTTAAGAGCTTGGTATTATAGGGTCATTATTGGCAGAAGACTGCAGTATGGTACCTCTAAATGTCTTTTTTGTAGTGTTTATTGTTTTGTTACGTTTAACTAACATTTCCTTTTTTCATGATACATACGATAAGTGATAAAAGTGAGGCGGAAGATACCGAAACGATATCATAGTTGGAAACGATATGGTAAAAACGAAAAACGACGAAAAGACAAACAACAATCTACAAAACACAACATAAAAACAGATTGAATAACACGAACTCCACAAAAAAACCAGGGGTGATCGCAGGTGCTTCAAATTCTTCTACAAACGTAACATCCGTCGTTTTGCTCGTGTTGCTTCAAATTCGGCAATAAATCTTTTTCAGTGAGGTCAAATTCGAGGACAAGAGAACGGGATTGCGGTTACTATAAATGGAACATATATGTAGTCATCTGTGAAACAAATATTCCATAACGGTCAACCAACTCGTGATTGTGTCCGTAAAACTTTCAACTTTACCACTTGGAACCTTCGATAAAAGTAAATAAGATCTTAATCAATAATTGTTTCGGAGGCAAATCTTTATTAATGAACTTCATCTATATAATTCTGTATATGTAGTACAGCCCTTGACTGATGTGAAGATTACACGGATCAAGGACTGAAGTCTGAAATTGAAAATGCTATGGATTCATCATCTTCAGGGATCTTGTTAATAATCATTTCACCTGAAAATACAAAATATAATAGATATAAATATGACATGTCTTTGATTGTATGCAATTACAATATTTTATTCCAATTCTTATGCAATTTTCGTATTTTTTTTCAAATAAAACATTTGAAACCTCAACTGCAATTGCACAATTTTTTTTTCTAATTATGACCTTCAACCATGGAAGAAATAGACAACAGCCGTCATCCAATTAAAAATAGGTTACAATCCATATTTCATTAGAATACATTTTGTTTTGTTCTTCCCTTCCGACAACGAACAGGTTCAAATCGTCGCAATTAACGTGTTTAATACAATTTACAATATTAGATTTTCTCACGATAATATCCTAACGGTAATGACAAAATGGACGACTTTTTATTTGATATTGTTTTGTAACGTTTTATTGATGACAATGTTCCTTTAACATCCATATAGAATGGTCAATTCCTAAGCGTGGTTCAATTTGCTCATTTTGCAGTGACTTCTTAGTTTTCAACGTCCTTTTGCATGGTTAGAAATACATTTACAGCCATAGCTTAAGTAAAATCATTGGTAAATCACCGAGACTAGGACGGACCAGTCTCACATCATATCATTTATCATTGAAACTAGGATGGACCAGTCTCACGTCATATTACTAATTTTTGAGACTATGATGGTCAGTCTTAGTTTTGTATTATGTTTTATACGGATACATACCTTAATATTGTGATCCTTTACCGTAACCATAACCACCTCTAATACCGGCAGCTCCGACTGAAACTGGGCCTGCTCCTACTGAAACTGGTCCGTTTCCTGAGCCGTAACCACCGCTAACAACAACTGGTCCTAAACCATACCCTAGTCCACCTTTGACTGGTCCATATCCAGCACCAGATCCGCTTCCTACAATAATTGAACCCAAACCGATTCCAGAGCCATAACCACCTACACTAAGTCCTCCGGAAACTGGTCCATATCCACCTCCGACACCTCCTAGAAGGACTGCAGAACCAAGCCCGGATCCATATCCTAAGCCATATCCACCACTTACAACAACTGGTCCTGATCCGTATCCTCCTTTACCAACATTTACTGGTCCATATCCAGCACCGGATCCGCTTCCTACAACAGCTAAAGAACCTACACCGGATCCGATTCCATATCCACCATATACACTTCCGCCACCTCCTAGAAGGACTGCAGAATCAACTCCTGATCCATATCCTAAGCCATATCCACCACTAACAAGAACTTGTCCTTGACCGTATCCCCCCTTACCTACAGAAACTAGTCCATATCCACTGCCGCCACCTCTTAGAAGGACTGAAGAACCAACGCCGGACCCACCTCCTAGTACACCTAAAGAACCTACGCCGGGTCCGATTCCATATCCAGAGCCATATCCGCTCCCATATCCATATGAACCTTTGCCAGAACTATAGGCAGAACTGAAGGCAGTCAGTAAAATAATGGCAAAAGTGAAATACATTTTGGTACGGTTTTCTGTACTGCAATAAAAACAGAGGCATATATTATTATAATATAGTTGTAGAAAAAAAAAAAAAAAAAAAAAAAACAACAGATAATATTATTTCTAATTAACGTACTAGTGTATACGAGGACCAGTTTACTTAGTTAGTTGAAAAATACAATAAATAGATAAATAAATAAAGAAGGTTTTGCCTACTCTCAGACATGTGCTAATGCAAAACATGGGATATAAAAAACGGATAGGTAAACTAAAATCAAAATCCTTGTTTTGCAAACCCGATAGGTCAATTAGACCATAATGAATAAAATAAATTTCGGTACCTTGCAATTGTATGTTGAAAAGGTAACGTAGATACGTCAAAATAGACAGCAACCCCATTACAAAAATGATAAGACAGCAAGGTTCACATGAATTATTTATTAGTTATAATTGGCTCTGAACTAGCTTACAGGAACTGCGAGTACTCGTATTTCGATGCTTTGTGTCTATTGTGTTTATATTGGCTGTTGTTTTTCTGTGCTTTGTGTAAAAAGGAAATACTGTAACAAAAATACCGAACTCCACGGAAAATTCAAATTTGGAAAGTCCTTTATCAAATGGCAAAATCAAAAGCTCAAACACATCAAACCAATGGAAAACAACTATCAATACCTGCCTTGGAATAGGCATTTCCTTATAAACAAAAGTGAAATAAACCTGGTTTTATAGTGTTATAGTATCTATTGAGTTGTTAATAGAACCATTTGCAATTGATTTTTATTGTGTGTTCTTATGTTGCGCTGTTACACCACTGTCCCTGCTGACGAGGAATGTTAAGAGCTCACAATCATGCTTAACCCCACCACATTCTATACGTGCTTGTCTTAAGTCAGCTGCCTGTAATTCAGTGGTTATCGTTGTGTCATGTCGTTCATAATTGCGTTTTTATTACAAATTAGTTATTTAGTTTTCTTGTTTGAATCGTTTCACATTTTTCATGTGGAGACCTTTTAAAGCTGGCTTTACGATACGATATGGGTTTTCACAATGTTGATGGCCGTACAGTGGCCTATAACTGATGTTATCAATGTCACTTCAACTCTGGAAAATATTTGTCTCATTGGCAATCATACCACATCACTTCTTTTAGTTATATTATATCGATTGACAAATGTTTATGCAATATTTCAAGTTCAAAATCGACACAGCTTCTTTTTTGAAATAAATTTGAGGTGTAAAATATATATTGATATATGCTGCATGATACAAACGTATCGAATTTAAATCTAAAGAGCTATAACATATAAAGTTAATAAGAATAGGAAATGCCCTCTTCGAATATTCTTCTCCGGGCCCTTTTAAAATATTGAATTATTATTATCCATCAAAGTCCGGGAAATCCTGTTATAAATGTACAAAAGAACCCCCCTCCAAAAAAAAAAAAACAAGTCAAAGTGATAAACACGCGGAAGATCAAATCAACAAAGTATAAAAGAATAAAACCCATTTTTAGATCTCTACCATCTAATAGGGGGGACTCTGCACATAATTACTAATGGAAACATGGCGATTGACTATCAAAGCTATTTTTCATTAAAAAAAACAAGTACTTTCAAATGAAAAGACAATGTTTTACTGATAAAAGTGTGTGATAGATTTCAAATACTTTATTTAACGTAGATTAAAAAGCTCCTTTCACAAAACATCAAAGACGCATATACACACAGAAATTATATAATATTTCAATTCACAACAGACTTTTTTTGTAAGATATAAAAAAAATTTACCTTAAGATAGGATCTGGTTATGACCTATGCTGAATCCATAAAATGTTCCGGCTTTTATACTGAAAAAAAACTGATTACATTCCACATAGTCGTGCCATTTATAATCATGCATCATAATTGCATCACCTTTGACCTTTTTTGTCATTCATATGATCAATTCTCCAACTATTTATTAATTTCATAAAAGAATTTGGAAGAAACCATAAAATAAAATAAATGTGCCTGTTGCATCATTCATAGTTGTATGAAATAAAAGCTTGCATGACTTTGTGTTCAATTAAAAGACAACCAGGCAAACTGTTAAGAATCATTACAATTTAGTTTAGCTTAGCTTAAAAGATAATGCATGGATAGCAGCTATCTACGAACAGTCTTCCTCCTTTCAGAATTCAAGTGATTCCCTGAGAGAGAGAGAGTCTACACAGGCAAATTTTGCTCACGTGAATTCTACATCAATCTCACATGAAATTCATATAAAAAATCAATGAAATCGTTGTCTTCCCAGTCTGATTTCAATGAAATCAAAATAATCTTTTACCCATGTCTTGTTTCAATGAAATCATTTTCTATCCATGTCTTGTTTCAATGAAATCATTTTCTACCCATGTCTTGTTTCAATGAAATCATTTTCTACCCATGTCTTGTTTAAATGAAATCATTTTCTACCCATTTCTTGTTTTTAAATGATATCATTTTCTACCCATGTGTTGTTTCAATGAAATCACTGTCTACCCATGTCTAATTTCAATGAAATTGTATACATTGTCAAGCTGTTGTTATCATAAACTATTTAAAGAGTATTTTCCTAATTATTTCAGTATTTGTTTTTCATGAATTGAAAGCGAGACACTTTAAAACAGAATAATCTGCTAAACCGTCTGTGTCTCTTTTGAAAACATAACCAGAGCTTTTGAATGAACAGAGACCACAAGTTCTGCTTGTTGAAATTTAAAAAAAAGAGATGATGCCACTAAAAAGGGGGAAATCACAGAGATGAAAATGTGACATGGTATATCAAGACAACTAGATACCCATGGATACAAGTTCATCGGTAAATGGATCAACTTAGTAGCTGCCTTGAACCCAACATAATACCATAATAACAGATCAGAATCATATGCTTTCAGCGTGAAAATTCTGGTTGGAAATCCTACCATAAGTTTAACCGCTATGCCAGGTACAATCGTTTAAATTCATGCCATAACAACAGAGAGGCAGATGAATCCGATCAGCCAGAGTCATCATTAACTAGAACAAATGTAGCGCAGAGGTGGTTCTTTCGTTGAAGATTTTGATTTTTGATGATAATCATACAACACACATAACTATATGTATTTTATGTAAGCCTTAGGGGCAGATATGAGAGGATTACATCGGATTTTCATAGAAGTAATAAATAAATATGCTATCATTTCTTTTGTTCTAAAAAGAACAATTAACTTTGATAAAACAGGAAAAGTGTAATTATTTTAAATTTTCCAGACGCAGTAACACTTTCAGAATATGTTTTGAAGTTGGATTTGGAATGGCATCCTAATTGCGATTGTTTTTCTGTCATCAAATTGATATCTTATCACTGCTTTTACATGACACTTTGAATCGCTGTACTATCTTGTCTCTTTCTTGTTTAATTGTCAAAATCTGAACTTTTTGATGATAAATGACAACATTTAAAATTGAGAATGGAAATGGGGAATGTGTCAAAGAGACAACAACCCGACCATAGAACAGACAACAGCAGAAGGTCACCAACAGGTCTTCAATGTAGCGAGAAATTCCCGCACCCGGAGATTTCTATGTAAATGAATGTAACATTGAGGGATAGTTTCATACTAATGAACATGGTGTATTGCTTCTTATCAGATTCACACACAAGTTGAACGTATTGGAACTTATTTATGGCCTTGTAAATGCTATTCATTAATCTGTTTTAGATTGAGAGATTGTCTATTGTCAGATAAATCATTCATTCAAAACTTACTAAGCTTTAAAAGTGCTCAATCTAACTTTAACAAAAACTTATTATAATAAATATACAATCACTGTCGAAGCTGATCTATTTTTATTTTTCACTTAAAAACGCGATGATGAGTTCCGTTTTGAGATACTTTGAGAAATTTATATCTGTTATATTTAGATGCATTTGGCCTAATGAGTATCTGTGTTGATTGTAATATAGATTTAATGTTTTCTTTCCATTTGTCTTTGCAACTAGTCCCATTACCAGCGGGCTTGCAATATCATAGACACACACTAGTAAACTTATTTTTATCTGAAATTGTCAATTTGATCTGAACAACTGTTGCAATTGAATAGTATGAACAGTACTGAATTTACCGCCTTTGATATGCCTGAAAGTTGCCGAAATACTGAACATGGTTAAAAAAAAATATTTCTCAGATTTTACAGATGATATCGATGTTAAAGATCAAAATGACTATTTAAGACAAATATTCGTTTACTGGTGACAAATTATTAGGGAAAAATAACATTGATTGCTTATTTGGTGTTTTGAATATGTAATTGTTCATAGACAAAACACCTTTTTTTTTACAATGTTTTTTTGTTTAAAACAGTTAATAGCCGTGCATTGACATTGTAATCATTTTTCGTCTATTCCAAATGCTTAACATAATGTTTAATTTTGTGTAACTTGGACTAAACAATTGTTGCATATAGACTACAATGTCATGTTTTCTCTTTGACTGTTTCTGACGTCTTTACCCTTAATCTATTGGAGGTTGGATGTGTACTGATTGATATTTTAGTCTTAGATGCATAATTGTTTCCTTAGTTGTTATTGGCTCTCAGATCTGTACTTAGTGTCTTTCTGTTGTGTGGATGTATAAGTACCTGTCAACGTCAACTCTGTGTTTAAGTGCGATGTATTTCTATTTGTATCCATCTGAGAAGTTAAGCATTTTTCAACTAATTTGTATAGTTTGTTCTTATGTTGTACTGTTACACCACTGTCCAAGGTTAGGGAAGGGTTGACGCCTTCAAACGAGCCTGTCCTAAGTCATGAACCTGTATTTCTATGGTTGTCGTTTGCTGCTGTGTAGCATTTTTGTTTTTCGTTCATTATTTTGTACATTAATTAGACCGTAAATTTTCTCGTTTGAAATGTTTAACATTTGTAATTTTTGGGCCTTTTATTACTGACTATCCGGTGTGGTATTTGCTCATTGTTGAAGGCCGTACGATGACCTATAATTGTTAATTACTGTGATA